GCTCCAGCCATGTGGATGTGGAGAAGGGGAGAAACAAGCAGTGCATGAGCACACAGGCCCCACCTCGTCAAAACACAGCACGGGACAGGACAACATTTCTAAGGGCTGTAGCAAATCTGAACCAAGCAGAGCAGCTTCTCCCACCCACAGCCCCAGTGTGCCCGGGACATGCACCGAGTAATCCCAGTTAATCACATAACCGTGCCCCTGCCCCACGCGGGCGGGTGGCAGCAGCGTTGCCCACACCCTGCACGCCTCCCTCTGCCCTGTTGCCTCCCAGACTCCTCCTAATTGCACAACCCAGGGAGAGCTCATCCAGCACCGCGCTGCCTCCCCCCCATCTGCGAGCCAAGGCAGCGCAGGGAGCAGCACCAACAGCGCAGAGCTCTGGGGCCGGGCGCTGCCCGCACAGCCCCGCCGTGCCCGGCTCCGGGAAGGGAGGCGCTGGTTTCGCTTTGCCGCTGCACGCAGCGCCCGCCAGCTCCCATCCTGGCACCCACCGCATCCCTGGTGCCGTGGGAGCAGCGAGGGGCGCAGCCCCAGCACGAACCCGTCTGGTTCTGGGCAGCGCCTGCTCCCGGCGCGCACAGCGAGAGGAGCCGGAGCGGGAGCCGCGGTGTGCTGCGGCTCTGCTCAGTGCTGCTGTGGTGCGAGCAGGCAGAGCCGGCTCCCTGCGCCAGCCTCCCGGGGAGGGACTGCAGGGCTCGGAGAGGCAACCCCCGATCGGTGCCCTCCCGTGGAACAGCGTTTTCCCCATTGCTCCTTCCCCAAAAAGCAGGCGCTCCAGGCAGGAGGCGGCCGGGGCAGAGGGAAAGGGCTGCTCCCGCTGGGCTCGCTTCCTGAGCTCTGACCAGCTTGGAGAAAAATCTGTCACTTCTGTTCCACGCTGCATGGGGCATCGCCGGGTTTTCCAGGCTAAGGTAGAATAACTGAATGGCAAAAACAGGCAAGGAAATTTAACCCTGGAGCTTCCAAACGGTACCACTGGCTGGGAAAGAGAGAACGGCAGGGGGATGGCTGGGTCCAAACCACAGCTTCCATTGAAACTGAGCCAAGGAAATGTTTTCCTTGAGAGTCTGATTAAAAGAAAATGTAAGCCTGTGCTAAGTGTGAGTGTTCCGCAGCAGCTCTGGTTCACAGAGCTGTTCTCAGCGCACTCCTCGTGCCCATCTTTCATGGACTAAGGTGTAACACAGCCCCTTCACACAGAGGAGCAGATTTAGGCTGCACACAAGCTCACAGCAAACAGCAGCAGAAACACATGGGGTTTATCAGAGCCCTGCAGCTACGGCAGGAACAGGGTTCAAAGGTCCCTCTGCTCCCACAGGGCTGGGAGCAGGCCCTAAGAAGGCAGTGGTGTGAGAACAGGTAACGCTCACCCCAAGCTGCAAAGTGGCCAGGCCCCCCCAGCTCAGCAGCTCACAAGGAGCCACAGCACCGGCTGTTCCCGGTGAGGAAGATGGGGTTCAGCTTTCCCTGTGCAAAGTGGTGCTTTTCTGGCAAGATCTTCCAAGGAGCACTAACTGACAGTAACGCTACCAGTAAAAGCCTCGCTGTCAATCACTGACACAAAGGGATGTCTTCTCAGGGCCGTGTGCAGACAACCACCCACAACCACAGCTCACACACAGCTATGTGTGTGCATCCAGCACCCGCTTCACCGGGTGTCATGGTCCACAAGTCCCTGTCCCTGCTCACAGTCACTGTGTGAGCACAAAGCAATCAGCCACGGCACCTTCACAGCGTATGGCATCGTGTTGAGTTCTTATCTCAGCCCAGCCTTCAGGCTGAGGACTGAAGCTCCTCTCCATAGGCATGGGGCTAAGAGCCCCAGCAACTGCCTCTGCACCTCCAACTCAGACAATCCCAGAATCCCAGACTGGTTTGGGTTGAAGGGACCTTAAAGCTCATCCAGCTCCAACCCCTTCCCCTGGAGCAGCTTGCTCCAAGCCCCTGTGTCCAACCTGGCCTTGAGCACTGCCAGGGATAGGGCAGCCACAGCTTCTCTGGGCACCCTGTGCCAGCGCCTCAGCACCCTCACAGGGAAGAGCTTCTGCCTAAGAGCTCAGCTCAGTCCCCCCTTGGGCAGGTTCAAGCCATTCCCCTTGGCCTGTCCCTACAGGCCCTTGTCCCAAGCCCCTCAGTGTGTTAATGCAGACAGTTAAGCAGGAGGTCAATGGGGTTTACCTAAGAAGAGAAAGGAATCAATCTTGGGGGGACTGAAAAACCTCAAAAGCAAAACAGTTTTAGAGCCTCGGTCTCACATCTCATCCCGTTTATTGCACACCTCCGGTCCCTTCTCCTTCAGCCTTCCCAGCTCCCCCCAAGCTTCTGCATTTCCCTGATGCTTTTCATGCGCTTTCTGCCTTCCTCTTGGTTGGGTTGGTTCCCTCTCAACATACCAACACCCAGCTACTGCTGCCAGCGGCTGCTCCAGCACAGAGCCACGTGTGCCAGCTCAGCACCAGCCAGACCAGGCCACGGGGAAGCTCCGAGTTTGACAACAGATTGAAGTATTTCATAACAGAACTTCATAAGTGGAGAAGGCCGATGCCTTCCTTCCACTCTGGTTGTTAACTGAGATGACAACAACTGGCCTGGGGGGTCTAGAAGCAATACTTGCAGACCAAGCCCTGAGCACAGCACTGGTGAGCCAGGTTCTCAGTGCAGCGCAGCAGAAACCTGCAGTCTCCAGAGTCTCTCACAAGCACTACGCTCACAAAAACAAAGGTTCGAGTGTGATTTTGCTGCCTTAGAGGCAGTTTTCTATGGGTGAGCTTCCTTTCATTTGCTTTTGTTGGTCGTTTCCAACAGCAGTACCTCAAGGGAACTGCTTTGTGCTGGAGACAGAGGCATTCTGGAGGACTGCACAAGGGGAGCATGCATCTGGGGAGTTCTGAAAACACATTATCCAAACCTAAGGGTCCTCACAATCCAGGATGTCAGTGTCAGCTGGACACTTAAAAATAGCTTCACCCATCTGAACAGCGTGACCTATTGTGTACCAGAGCCCTCCTTCAGAGGCTGTTTCATCACTGCTTCCTACTGTAGATACAATCAGCTGGTAAAAATAAATCAGCTTCTCATCACCTCTTGTTGGCAGCATCGAGCTGTTCCCACACAGGAAACTGAGGCACGGTGACATGAAGTGGCACCAAGAGAGCTGTGAGCCCTGCAGAGAGCAACCCGGAACACCTCAATCATGGGGTTCCACGATGGAGGAACAGTATCAGAGCAGAGACATGCACCAAGGATAAAGGAGGCAGCAGCTGGGACCACCCTGATTCCAGATCAAATGGAATCAAGATGATGCTCTCCCACCCACTTCTGCCAGATGCCAGGTTCCATGAGCCGATCACCCCATCCGCTGGCCCTGCAGGTCCCTATGAACTCACCCAGCTCCTGCACAAAGCAAGCAGGTTTTCTCCTAATGGAGCTGGGCACTACAGTCATGTTGGACCCGGCCACTTCACTCTGGTGCCCAAATGAGAGCCAAGCACCTTCGGGAACTGCCCTCCTCCCTTCTGCTGTAACTAAAGTGATAGAGCATTGACGCAAGCACAGCAAGCGCTCAAGTACACACCGAAGAATGGAAGATGAGGTTTAAGTTTCTCCTAGGGCATGGCAGTATTTTAGGTTCCTCAACACCTCTGAAAGCCCGCACAGGCACTGCACACACCCCAAACTAACACTAAAACCATCTATTATACATGATGCAAATGCAGAGAATTGCAGTGAGGCGGTTCCTAGTCCCTGCCACCGAGGCTTTCCTCAATCCCCTCTCCCAGAGCCTGGAAGCGTTTGCTTTCCTAAATTAAGAGCCTCCAATCAATTTTCCTTTCTGCAAGCTCTGTGTCAGTCACAGTCTTGCAAATTCATTCTCGAGCTGGAAACTTTTGGGCCAGGATTCAAAGAAATGAAGCAGAGTTTGAGGTTCTTGGCAAAAAGTAGTTTACAGAGAAAACAGCAGCAGGGGCTTGTTTGTGCTCCAGTGGCACGTCCATAACCCAGACAACCAGCGCTGATGTGCTCAGTTTGTTCAGCAATACCACACCAGACACCGCTGACTTTTGAGAGCTACGCTGTTCAATGGGGGGAAACGCTTTTAGCACCGCAAGGCTGCAGGATGCGTCTCCGAGCTGGTTAATTACACCAGCCCCTCCAACAACAACAGAACAACCGAGCTGTAGACAAAGACTAGTTTTGAGCCGACACAGATTTTGGGCAGATTGACTTCCGATAGCAGTTATACAACATGGGAGCTGCAGAGGCGGCGGTGCAGGGGTCACGCTCCATGTTTGCTCTACAGCCTTCTTCATACACCGGCTCAGAGAGCAGCTCGCCTCAAGAGTTTGCTTTGCCCGTGTCTGAACCGCCGTGTCCCTTGCAGTATTACATACACACTCACACCCCGTTAACTCGCTGTTCCAGAGTGTTTGCATACCGGCGGGATGTAAATAATCCTGATTGAGGAAGCTCTGACCCCATTTCTTCCCGCCCCGCTTTGCGGGGTGCTCCATGCCTGCAGACACACGGGTATCGGGTACCCCTCCCGAGCATCCTGGGCATCCAGGGCGGACTCGCCACAGGGTTTCAGTACCGGCTGCAGCATCAGAGCGCGCACCGAGGCCTCGGAGCCTCCCTGCCCATGGACCCTCCAGCCCTCCTTCCCGCAGGACCCTCCCGCACCCTGCCGAGGGCACCGGCTGCGCTCCGCTCCCGAGAGCGTCCTGCAGCCGGGTCCTGGTCCCGACATCCCGCACCCGGGTCCGGGTCCCCCGCAGCCCCACAGCCGGGTCTGGGTTCCCCCATCCGCAGCCGGCTCCGTGACTCCGGTGGCCGGCGAGCAGCGGCCGCGCACACGGGTCCAGCGCCCGGCGCATCCCCCCAGCTGCCCCGGCCCCGCCATCGGCCGGGTTATTCCCCACCACCGCCAAAGGAGAACCCCCCCCCCCCTCCCCGAGTCCGTGCGAGCGGGGCCGGGCCCCGCCGCTGCTCACCGAGAAGCGCTCCAGGTCGGTGGCGGCCATGGCCGGGGCTGGCGCGGCTCCGGCGGCGGGAGCGCGGCTGTCCCCGCCGCGGGTGGATGCGGCTGAATGGATCCAATATGGCCACTTCCTGGAAACTCCCCTCCGCCCGCCACAGGCGCCGCCCGACGGGACCGGGGGGAACCGGGGGCCGGGCACCGGCACCGGCCGGGGGCGGGAAGGGGCGGGGGCAGCCCGAGCCCTGCCCCGGAGCCGGGCGGGGGAAGGGCCCGGAGGTCCCCTCCGTGACCGCGGCAGGGTCCGCTGCGGGCGGCGGGGACGGGGCCATCGCGGCCGGGAGAGCGCGAGTGGGGCCGTGGGAGCGCCGGGAGCATCCTCGGCGGGGCGCGGGGGATGCGCGCTGGGATGCGGGGACCCCTCTCCCCCTGTTCCCAAGCGTTCGGCGGGCCGGGAGGCCGAGGGACACCCGCAGCGCCTGTCACACACGGGGGTTACACCGAAGTTGCAGCCACGGTGTGGGTTTGAGCCTGGGTGCCAACAGCTTGCAGCCATCACGCTGCCTGTGTAAGCTAACACACGCAGCAGAGGACCGTCGAGTCTTTCTTCATCATCGCTTCCCACGTAAAGCGCAAAGCCAATCCCGGCACCAGCACCCACAAAGACGCTGGTATTTCACCAGCTGCTAGCGCAAAGTTTCCCTTGCTTTCTGGTGCCCTCTGCTGCAGTGCACCTATGAGTGAACGGCTCTCCAGAGCGCACAGCTGAGTCACTAGAGGAAACCTACAGCCCGCATCCATCCCCTGCCCTGCAAATGCAAGTGCTTTCGTGGATCAGAGGTTAGGAAGAAGGTTGTGTCCTCCCTTTAAGCAGTTCCAAGGCATTTTCTGAGAAGGTGTTGCCCAAGTGAAGTGCTTCTTGCAGTGACAGATCAGGTCACAAGAGGAGATTTTCTGTCCTCCCTGAGTGGACAGCCTACAACCAGGTTAATTCTGCTAATGCATGCATTAGTTCTGCCCACAGATAGGTTGCAAAAATACCGCATTTCTATAAACAGGCCATTGCTGAACACCATCTCTTCATTTATTTCCTTAGGCCACCAGAAATGACCAAACCCCCCCAACCTTCTTCCTGTCACAGCCCCTGCTCTTTGTGTTCTTTTTCCCCTCCTTTCTTTACAGGCAAGCTTGGGAGTCCTGATTGAAGACAATGTAAAAGTCTTGTTTAACACACGTTTAAATGCCATTACGGCAGGTGCTTTGGGAGAAGTGATTGACTTCTACTCATTAAAAGCTCTTCTCCTGCCAATGAAGTGCAGAATGTAACGACAGGAGGCTCACAGAGCTGCTTCCCAGGCAGCTACTGGCTTCTGGGAGCAGATGCAAAGATCCGTGGCACAACGGGAACTCTGAGCCATTGCAAAGGCTCAAAGGCCAGCATTGATGCCGCTGGCTGGGCTGAGCTGTGCAGCTGAGAGCTTCTCCTCCCTGTGTCCCCCAGCACGGGGTAGGACCGCAGTGTGTAGAAGCTCGCAGGTATCTTCAGACAGCTCCTTATTTCAGAAAGCACAATGCTAATGCAGATTCAAGAGGAACCTGCCACTTTCAAAAGCTTCACATGCATTGAAACAACTGCTTCCAGCGGAGGGAATTCGATTTGGTGGCTCCTTTAACTGCTAAGGCATCAGTTGTTATGTAAATTATTCCTAGTGGCTCAGTGTAATAGACATGTATTACAGTGATGGATGCTCCTGCAAGGATTTTAACACTGGAATATTTTACCTGCTAAATGCACAGTGAATGTAGGATAAACTGTGAATTTTCTATAGGTAAAGTGCTGGGGCAGAGAGTACAAAGGACTGGAGAGGCACAAATGTGTCCCTGGAATCTCTTTGTCCTAAGGAGAGGAAGGAAAATGCCCCTCACTGTTAGCATTGCAGTAGTTGTGATGATGGGGAGATCAGCTTTACCCCTTCATGTTGTGTCCCTGGGTACAGGCAGTGAAGGTAGAGAGAAATAAACGTTCTCACAGCCCCTCTTACTTCACACACAGCCACAGGGATTGAGTGATCATCATACCTGCCACATGAATGCAGCATCAAGCCCAGGGCCTTGTGAAGCCGCTGCATCCTTCAGGGCTGAGCAGAATCCTTGATCTTCAAACCAGGTAGTGCAGATCAACAGAGTCCTTCATGTTTTCAGCGCAGGCTGGAGGAAGCAGCTTGTTGGTAACTATTCATTTCTTTCAGTGTGTTCTCCTGGGGATTATTCACAATCAAATGGTAATCAAATGGTTTCATAGATGCTCTTTCAGCAGCCCTCCCACCAAACACCTTACTAAACTTTCATCGGTTATACTGTCAATATATGGGAGTTAAAAGGTGTTTCTACAGAAGAGCTGGAAGTCAGTGGGAGCTGTGGGTTCATTTTCCCTGTGCACACTGAGCATCCCATTGAGTGTAAATGGGATGGCTGGAAATAGGCTCTGAACTTCCCTGCTTCCTAATGCTAAAGGGCAGCACCACCACCAGGTACCTCATGCCAGGTTTGCATTGTCCTGCTAGAACCCCATCAAGCTTGCAGGCACCACTGAAAACCGGGGGATGCTCAGGATAGGTCCTTGCCTCATCTGTGTGGAATGGGCAGGATTTAATAAATACAGAGTCTGAGACACGTGGAAAACTGCAGCTGAGTGGTTGCTGTTGAGGAACGTCATCCCAGTCACTTATTGAGGTCCTTGAGTCAGAGCTGAACCTTGCTCATGTATGAGAAATGCCTCTTATCTGCAAATAACCTTCCCCCCTCCCTGCCCCTTCTCAGACTTGCTCAATTGTTTCTCTATGGAAGGTTACTGCATTCCTCCGTGGAACAAAGGAAGAGCTATTTTCCCTCACAATGCAAGCCCTTTGTTTCACATGAAAATATCAACAAGGAAAGTGGAAAATCCTGGGCTTTGTCATCCTATTTATTCTGGGAACCCTGATTTCAGTTCGGAGGAAAATGAGTTTTCCTTGAGGAGCAAATGCTCTGTAGTCAATAGCACCTCAGCTTCACCTTTCTGCAAAGCAGAGACACGCTGTTTGACCGAGACTATTCCCCAGATTCCCTTCTCTTCCTCTGGTGCTTCCATCCTGGCACCTCACCATATCACACGGGAAGGAGCAGGACCTCGGCTACCATCTCCTTCAGTTCTGAAGTGTCATTAGAAACTTCTTGGCTCTGACTGGATCCTTTCCTTGAGCTCCCTCTTTATTTCCTGGTTGTGTGTGCTGTGAATAATTACTCAGTTAACCTTTACCTCCCTCCCTGAGGGGGTGGGAGAAGGCTGCAGGCTCCGTGCTGCTTATTACACTGGGATGTTCATCGTCTGCAAGCTTGTGGAACTTCTCCACCACAAAAGCAACTCTCCCCAGTGCCATGGTTATAAATAGGGGCCCTGCAGCTCCCCGCAGCCTGTGACGCAGAGCCAGCACCCTGCCATATTTGTGTTCCAAACCGTAGTAGTAAATGAATTCAATCACGGGCTTCTGTGCATTGTTTGTGCCCCAGACAGGAGATTAAAAATACCAAAGCAGTTGGCTTGAAATCTCCCCCGAAGCAGCCCACAGCGCTCTGCAAATAGCCCGACAAGAAACACTTTGTAGGTTTTGGTGACACAGAAAAGCTTCTGCTTTCTCAGGCTGGAAATCTCAGGTGACGGACGAGCACAGCACACAGGATGCTCCAGGCTTCGGTTGTCTATGTTAGTAAGATTCATTCAAACAGCTTCATTTCTGCTGCACAGTCTGATCAGAATGTGACCGATGCTCAGTAAACTGAAAGGAGCTCACTAAGGTCTGATCCCTTGGTGCTTGGCACTTGGCTGAAAGATAGGCAACCAAAAGGCATCAATTATACCATTCATGGTCTAGTGTATGGTGTCCCTGTCCATGGCAGGGGTGTTGGAACTGGATGATCTTAAGGTCCTTTCCAAGCCAAACCTTTCTATGACCCTATGATTAACAAAGGCAAAAGCTGGCAAACAGGACACGCTGGAGGATTAGCCACAATGGTGTTTTCTAACTAATTACAGAAAGTACAGGCCTAACCTAGCACCCACTGACAGCAAGACTGCGCAGAGGAACACAACCACATGGCACGGGCTGCACACAGAGGATGAAGTGAGTGCACGTGGGACAGGCGGGTGGGGAAAGAGCTCCTTGGTCAGGCAGTAAAACGAGAGCAACCAGTTTGTGGTTGGAACACCATGAGGAGCACGTGCAGACATCCTGTCTCCTCTCCTATGGCCTCCCAGGCCTGTGTCCTTCTGCTCTGGGGCCACGAGGAGCACCAGGACCTGCAGTGGGGAGCAGTGTTAGTAACATCCCTCCTTTGGGTTCCTGACCCAGCGCAAGCCCTTGGAGGGGTGATGGGATGCCCGTGCAGGCAGGGAGGGAGCACAGCACCTCTCCACAAGCACCCACAGAAACACCCTCAGTGTAGGGGTGAGCCCAAAGATACCCTGCTGTGCTTGAACCAACTCAAGCAACAGGAGCAACTTGACCTTAACATTTGTAACATAAAACATTTTCTATAAGAGCCTATTCTTCTGTTTCCCTCCTCCTCTCACTCATTTGCAGACACAAACTATAATCCGAGGGTACAGTCAAAAGTTCGCAGTGCAGCAATCACAGACTGCTGAGATTCTCTTATGCCTGCAACGGATTCCAGTAAGGAATAGAAATCAACAGTGAAACCAAAGCATAGCAATTAACATTTGGATGCTCTGCATTAGCTCTCTACAGCAGGCCAGGCAGAACCATGGTGATGCCACGAGCAAAGAAGGCGTTGCTAGCACAGAACACTCGCCACCAGCGGGTGCCTGAGCAGAGGGTGAGGCTGCTGCATATGTGTGTCAAAAGGCAGTAATAAGAGGTGTAGAAATCCATAGAAATACTGAATTGCTACACGCAGCATGAAGATTACACACTATTATGTGACAGAACATTACAGCAGCAAAGTGGTTTTGAGGAACTGGCTCAGCACCAGGTTGTTAGCAAGAGATAAAGTGGCTTTTCAGAGGTTTGCACAAAGATGGAGAGAGGAGGGGAAGGGCATCCAAAGGAACGCTCAGAGCAGTGCGTGGGAAGAGGCTCTTCCACCACCAGTACAAGGTGTGAGGAGGCAGAAGGGAGGTCAGCATCAGTGAGGAGGGA